GGATTGTTTATATCTTGAATTGTTGACATGTTTCTATTGTCCAATCACAGTACCAGAAACTTTGTGCTATTTAAAATTCAAGGTCAAGCGGAAATAAGCAAAATCTCCAAGAAAAAACTATAAAAGAGTACTATTAGAGTATCCATAATGACAAGAGAGTAATGGGGTTGTCTTCTAAAGAGTCTCCCATCATAAATAAGACTCTGTGATATTTTTATAGTAGATAAAAGGAAGATAGAGAAGTCAGGTCTACTTCTTTTTAGAACTTTCTTGCCATTGGTAAAAAGAATAGAGTTATTTTTCTGATCACTAGAAAACAAGTTTATTATAGCAAGATATAAAAAGAGGCAGTGGAATTGTAAGATGACTTTTGAGAATCTTGTTTTCAAGTTGATTTAAAGAAAGTGATAAGACTTTATTAGACTTAAAGTATAAAACTTCTTGTGAATGTCTTTTTTGTGTGTGATCAGAGGATCAGTGAAAAGAGTTGGTGATATTTTTGTGGTCTTCATTGCATATAATTTTTTTATTTTTTATTTTATATAACATATTTAACATAAAATAATTTTTATATTACATCTCATTCTGATTTGTAATCATTGCTCAAGAATTATAGTAAATAATATTTCAATTTATTTATTTTTTTAAATTTAATAAATATTTTTTGCTTTATTAATATATATACTCTTATGAATTTATATACTTCTACAAATATACAGTATATGTTCATATTATATTTACATACTTGAACTACTGTATACTTCATGAATTTGCATGTTCAAACTATATTTCACAAATCTATATGCTCAAACCATACTTTATAAATCTATATGCTCAAATAATACTTTATGAATATATATACAGTATATGATATATACAAAAAAACTCTTTCCTGCAGATCCTTTTTTCTAAAAAATTTTCTTTTATAATAATTTTGCAAAGAAAAGAAAAAGTGAATGGAAAAATGTCTTTCCAAAGGGAACTTAGCAACAGAACAGCCCAATGGAGACCCAACTACAATAAGAATGCCCTCATAAGAGGTAACACTAACAAGTTATATAAAGAAACAACTTTGAAACCCCCAAATAAAACTACTCAAAATTAGACACTAATCAAAGAAAACTAGTCCTTATCAGCTTCCAACTCTCTCAACAGGTATATATAAACAGATAATAACACAATAGATATTTCGACAAGCAGTTCAACAACAAGAAAGGAGATAAGCATCCCAAATTGAAATTAAGAAGTCAAAAAAGACTTGGGCAATCACGTGAGCAAAAACAATACTAATCAAGACATACTTATCCAGAATCAAGAAGAAAAGAAATATGCCTTTGATTTAGACATTGATACGGAAGAAGGAGAATACTCAGTGATATCCACAACTTCTTCCTACAGAACATCCAATTACAAAGGTAAACAAAAGGAATATGAGCAGACCACAAAACTAAGATCCCTCTTTCTATTCGATAGAACATAAAAATATAGAAGAGAAAGAGTAAAAATCAGTATCCTAGTATCTGAACTTCCTGACAGGATAACAACACAAAAAATAATCCATCTTACTAAAGCTCTCAATTCTCTAGAAGGACTTCTCACTATCAGTAGTAAAAGAAGCAACAAAAATGAATGTATCATTGCTATTCTCAGTAACAAACAAGTAGTAATCGAGATATACAATTTAATTATGCCTGAAAAAAACAATCAACACATGGAAATTATAAAGTTCACAAATTCTATTCTTAAAAAGGAAATGAGTATCAGAGTATGGAGCATTTTCCTCAACACAAAATTCATTGAAGTGCAACAATCCTTTGTCAAATATGGAGCAATCAGCAATGTCACTATATCAATACAACAAATGTGATAAACAGCAATAATCACATACACAAACAAAGATAACAAAGAAGTACTGATCAACCGATGGAGTGTCACACTCAAGTCAGACTTAGTTAGAGTTTTTGATGCACAATGGGATGTGAAACAAATAAAAGAACATGGTCAGATCATAGCCAAACTAACTAATCTATCATCAAATACAACTGCTTTTGACCTTAGATTTATCTGCAAACAAGTCAAAACCATGACATATTACATATCAAGAAGAATGTCATATCAAAGAAAACACTTTGCAGTCCTGAGTTTTGATTGCCAAAAAGACCTGGATAAGGCAATGAAACAAGATTACCAACTTGGGAAAACAATAATCACCTGGCAACCAATTGAAACAAAACTCTGCTCAATCTGTGACAGCCATAAACACCTTATGGCCAATTGTTCTATCAAGAAAAGATAATTTCAGTAGAAGCAATACAATAAAGAGCAAGCTGGAATATTTAGAAAACTCTAAAACAAATACAAACCAGTATATATGACAACAATTAGAAATCAAGTAAGAACTCCAATAAAAAAACAAAGATAACTAGGCTCTTATGTGATAGCAGCAAAACAAGACCAACAACAAGACAATACCAGCCAATACAACAATGAACAACCAATACTTACAAACATCTTGCA